AAAAAAAGAGGTATCTGGACTTTTAAATGAAAAAGGTTAAATAAAATACTGGAAAAATAACTGACTTTTAAATACAACTTAACCTTGAAGAGTTTAAGTCTGCTTGACTATTTCTCACATATAGATGTTTGCATTTTTAGTGACACATCTGAGAAAATAAGACCTATACAGTCAGTTCTCCACCGTATGGCTTCTTATTGCTTCTTTCACCATTAAAATTCAATTTCAATGAAATCACATAAAAGGGTACAGAACTTACAGGTAGTAAGACCCCAGATTTCCATGCAAACTGGCATGAGATAAGTCATATTAACAGTTCTGTGAATTCCAAATAATGCCCACACTGAGAAAAAAATTGCAGCAAGTGCAATAGTACTATTAATTGGATATCTCATAACAGAATTTGATATTGCAAGTTTCCCAGCCACAGCGGACAATGAAAACAGACTCCTTCCAGACAGAGGGTAATCCAGCTACAGTACACTATGCTGTAAGAAAGTAAATATCATGAGTTCTTCCAGTTAAAAAATCCCACTCTAATACACTTCTTACATTGGGTCAGGTATAGACATGCACTCAGTTTTTATCAAGAAGCACATCATCGTAAGCTGAGCTGGGCTAGTTCACAATGTTGTGGCCCAGCTATAACTCTTTTTAGAGGTTCCCTTGTGTAACATAATTGAGCTGTCACCAAAAGTCAAAACTGTGGCTCCAAAAATTCCCAAGATTTGAAACATCACATCTGCCCTAGCATATTCATACTATGATACCATAACCACTAATCCTGGCTATGTACAAACCCAGAACAAGTTTGTATTTCTGATGACTGAGCCAGAACACATAGGAGAATCCTCACACTAGCTTTATGTTTTCATCCTGGCTGTGAGAGGTCAGACCCAGAGCTGATCTGGTCTGAAGCCTGCTGATAAAAAATAACCAATAGTATTTTCTGAACCAGTTGGAACTGCAATATCAAGCAATAAAAGAGCAGCAATTTGTGGCACCTTTGATCTGATATTAAGAGCTCTATTTAGTGTACAGTGAAGCAACAGTCTAAAAACAATAACTGGGGCAAAATGGAAGCTCTGGCAGGAATAAAAGCTTAAAAGACCACTTCTGCCATCCTGTCCCCCTTACCCTGGGCCTGTACAACTCCGTACAACTATCTGTGTGGCTGCACTGCAAGTCAGACTGCAAACTGACTCAAGATAAAAATAATTCCTCAGAGGGAAGGAAAGGGGGAAATAAGAGAGACAAAAGAGTATTTTCTTATGACTGGAAGGAGAGGCAGCCCAATACCATTGAGGGCAAGGGGACCTCAAAGGCTCCTCTTAACAGGTAATAAGAGCATCCTGCAGCTGAACATGGATGGATATTGAGGCCTCTGGTGGGAGGATGAAATCCTTAAAATAGGGCGGCTGAGTCCATGGCCTTACAGCCAAAGGCTGCTACTCTTAACTGTGCTAGGAGGTTGGCTCCAGTAACGGTAACATTATCACCCCCCTATCAAGGGTTTCAATTAGCTGTTACACTGTTAACAATCAATTTATGGCTTTGCAGATTATACAAGAATTAAGAGAATCAGACCCCTAAGAAGAACTGCATAATCTGTCACCTTAAAATAGAGAATCTAGCAAGCATAATTGGGGAAAGCATCAGAACTTTCTTTCCCATAATCCATTTTTCCCTCCCCACAAACACAACCTCAGAAAGAAATTTCACTTTTCTCTCTTTGCACTCAGAAGCATCTCCTGAGGCTCCATAAAACAACGGGACAAATACTGGTAACACAAAAACACTAAAAGCACTAAAATGAGTTCAGAACACATCTTCCCTCCCCAAGTCAGGTAGAGTCGAATTACAGGCTGCTCAAAGACAGCAGTGTCCCCACCCCACTTATTTTGAGCGGATAAAAATCCATAAATTCTTTGGTTTATACTTGCTAAGGAGTTCATTTCTGTGCCTCAGCTGAAAAGCAGCAACAACCGCCCTCGTTTCCACCAATACACTTGCAGTAGCTTGGTCTAAGTCCGATGATCTTCCAAGCAGAGGTGTGAGCACCATCACAGCAGCCGCATAAGCAGAGCCACAGCTCTCCTCAGGCACCTAGGCAGGTGGAGCAATCAGGGCCTTACCACTCACCTAAGGACGCTAAATATATCTCCGAATCATTCAGGGGTGCCCAGGGCTTCGGATTTATATTTTTATGGGAAGAACCATCCAACACATCCTCCAGGCTTCCTCTGTCGGCATAAGAGTCCATGAAGGAATCCGTAAAAGCATCACCAGCGTCCTTCTGGTCCGGGTGGGGCAGGCACGAGCAGATCTCAGCCCAGAGGTCTTCACCGGACCTGGCGACCACCGCGTCCACGCTCTCGATCATTCTCATCACGCAGCCCTGCGGGCAGAAATAAGTCACGAACAGCAGGACTCCTCTCCCCCCC